TTCTATGAGGAATATAAAAACCTTCTAAAGCAATCTCATAGAAAATATAATTACATAAATTAAGTATACTAAGGTAACCATTTTCATTGGATTTAAACCAAGAAAATTCTAATCCATTATTGAAATCATTTTCCTATTTCTCTTGTGAATATAATGACTACAACACATTATTGATCGAAATAATTTATGGCGCGCGTACTTGATCATTAAAAAAAATAGAAAAAAATCTAGATCCCTCGAATCCGTCTCGCACTTTACCTGTTTTTTTCTTATAGATATTCACACAAACCACTCGTGCGAAGCCGCGATAAACGGATTATATTCGATATACCTACCTACACTCAAGACACTTTATATTTTAACTTGATTACGTGTCAGAAAAAGTAATAAGATTGATAAGCATTTTAGTATTATGAAAATGAAGAATGGCAGTTTCATAAGGATCATTAATCAAGAGATCATTTACCAAGTCCAATATTGATTTATTATTCTAAAAGTTTTTTTTAAACTTCTGACAGGCATCATCAGTATAATCAAATAGGTACATGTAGTACATTCATTGACTAATTTGACGATGTTGTTATACCAGTTATCGCTGGTAAGCAATGATAGATTTCTGATTAGGATTTGAATAAATATTATATTATGGTTGAGATTTAACAAATTGTATATATACATTTGTAATTATGTAATTGCCTTTGGATCAAGCCCGACAAGGTGTCACGGGCTAGATAGCGAAACCTCGGCTTAGCGGTCAGGTAGTAAGCCGCCTGAAAACTATATGAACTCATTTAACGCTACACGAATTTAAAAGTTTTTGATTAGATATATATTGGATCTCTTATAAACGTATATCTTTATCTTTATGTAATTCTAAATCTGGGTTAAACATATGTGGAATATTTCTGATGTTATTCAAGGTTATGTATTTCTTTTTACATTGATTTTGTAATTTACATTGTAGCGGAAATTCGGCTTTAGTTTTATATTAGCTATGAATTAGTAAAGACCTGTTGACACCGACAATTGTAATGTCAAAAGTTTCTGGTAGGATCTTAGTAATTCTAAATTCAAATGCAATTCTAAATACACATGATGGTGTAAAATGTGAGCATTGATTATGAAAGGACATATGGATACTATAATGTAAACACATATTACTCTTCGGAAAATAAACATGTTCGCTTAGTTAAAGCCGCGAGAAACAGCTACTAATAAACATGGTGACACAGCCGTTATGAACAATGGTATTACATTGATGTCCAATAGTATATATATATATACGGGATTTCTACTCATTTTCAGGCGGCATGTCATGTCGAGTAGGCCACGAGGAAAGCACGCGGCGACGGTAGTGTAGACATGCGCAGTGTAGCAACGGCGCCTGCCGATTATGAGGCGGGGAGGGCATTTGGTTGCAGGCCAACAGGGGGGTTTGACCCACCTCTCACACCTCGCAAACGTTATTAAAACCCCTATATTTTACGGAATCCGACGAGTGTCATTTATGTCTCTGTTCTCTCAACAATCAAGGAATCAAAATCTAATTTTCAGTAATTATCGGCCATTCTGTACTTTCATTCCGACGTAAACGTAATTAACGAGAGTATACTTTTATTGATTGATATTGAATAATGTTGTTCCTTTACATAATTTTATCCCAAAAATGCTACATCACTGTGGATAACTACGTTATCAGTTAAAAGGCAGTCTGATCCTAACATGGCGTTTTAAAAGATTGGCAACAGTCCATATATTGAATTTTAGAGGTTTGATAACTTTGTAGACCTTATTTTCCTACCTATCAACTTTATATTGGAATCTAATTCTTCTTTATCTTCAAATTCTATCAAATTCTTTATTACATTTTCATAACCTAGAGATCTTCCCACGTGGTTCTCACATCATTGTACATTTGTACATATAGACAATGTATTTTCTACTGATAACAAAATTTTATTATAATTTATGGTACCAAGTAGTAAACAAAATACATCATTTATCTATTCATTACTCTTTTATCTTATTTTCAAATTCAATCTCATTCTCTGTGGGGTTTGGTTTCCTTGTTCATATTAAAAAGTTAGGTACATATCTGTACATATAAATATATATGTCTTTTCATAAAACACGAAGTCAATATATGATAGAGATATTCAGTGGATTACATATATAGTAGTAAATATAATTTATTTCGTTCCGATTGCAGTTGCACGTTACATACAAACTGTTACTTAGCAACAATACTTATTTTAAATGTGATGGATTATACTTTTTCTACTACAATCAATGTGCCTAATACGGTCCCTTAATCCATTACATTTAAGACATTCTACATCTCTACATTTAAATAACATACATAATATATATACAGAAGAGTATATATATACCAAAATTAAATCTGTTAAAATACTAACAATTTCTGTTGGACCTATACGGCCCATAACCTGATAGAGATATTCAGTGGATTACATATATAGTAGTAAATATAATTTATTTCGTTCCGATTGCAGTTGCACGTTACATACAAACTGTTACTTAGCAACAATACTTATTTTAAATGTGATGGATTATACTTTTTCTACTTCAATGAATGTGCCTAATAATATATATGTATATATATACCAAAAAAAAGGCCCGTTAAAATTGGTCCAGCAATTTCAGAGATTAGACGGAACAAACAGACAGACAGACAGACAAAAATTGTAAAAAATGTTATTTTGGTGTATGTACCGTATTTATATTCATATGTATGTAGTAAAAAATGGTTATTTCAATATTCCAAACAGACACTCCAATATTATTTATATGTATCATAGTAATGGATTAAGGAATACCTGATAAAAATTTAAACTGTACTTTAAATTACAACAATTATAAAAAAAATAATAATGTACTTTTAATATATAGTGACATCATCAGTCTAAAAATTTGGTTACTATTTCCGATATCATTAATCAGCACACCGACACACTTAATTGTATTTACGTCTGTGACCGCCAGACATTCGTCGCGTTAAACTTTGTATGTTACTTGCTTTTTCTTGCAACGTTACTCAGCAGGGAGTAAATAAAAAAACATGCAACGGCGAGAGTCCAAAACAAATAGCAATCACATAAAATCCTGAATGCAGTAATAGTTCATACATATATGTATGTTTTTACTTTTGGCGTGCGTCCAGAATATGTCTAGGTACAAACAAAGCTGCTACTGTGCTCTGTAGTAGGCCATTCCCCTTCGTTGTTTGGTACGACGAATTTCTCGAATTAATCTTGATATATGAGATACGGTCACTGTGCTATGCATGTGATATACAGCTTTCATAGTATATATTTTCTTTGGATAATAAAATTCATGTTTAGCTTAGCTTATACTGCCGCGTACAGAGTTGAGGGGCGTTTATGTTTTAAATATTTGTGCAACACGTAGACAGATTTGAATTTACGTAGGTCACATTTTATAAAAATAAAGTAGGTATAGTAATATTTTCAGAATAATGTTAGTTGATTAAAATGTTTAATAAACAGTCTTGACAGCATCTAAAACTATTCTGATAAAATTTGCATAATAATATAGCGTATTTGCATGACGATCTTTGAATATTCTTTTGCCTGATAACTTCAAGCAAAAAGAAATAAATTTTCATTTCAGTTTTCTTTGAGAATAATTGCGACTAAAACGAGATTAAATTCGCGTATCGTCTAGATATATATATACATTATGGTATATTTAATATAATACACAATATTTAGGGTCATTGTATTATGTTTATTTGTCTTTAAAACTAGCTACACCCGAAACTAAAGCCGAGGAATAGGATTATAGCAAACGGGGGATTTATACCGCGGATTTACGAGAATCCTCCCGGACAAAACGGGATACCGCCTAGCCTGCTTGTTAGGACCTATGATAATGCGTGTTGTTTGTATGTATTAGAATAACCATCCCAGTATTTACACGCGTTCATGTTTCTTTCACAAAACATGTTGCAATATATTTGTTACTGTATCCATCAATAGATGTTTGACATTGATTATTGACATTCTTGATGTAGAAAAACCGATTTCTTAAATACACTTATACACATTTATTTTTTGTATCAATCAAATCAATCATCAAGTTTTAATATATATAATAAAGAAAAAGAATATATATATATTCTTTTTCTTTGTTACGTAATTGATGGAATTTTAAAAGTTTGTGAATGCTTTAAATAAAGTTTCTTATAAATATTAGTTTTCCAAGGATTATATATTCTGTTAGTTCTATTCTAAATAATGTGGCGATTTCTCAACTCTAGTAGTGGCAATTGTAGCTTTAATAATATGCTTTTAATTTCAAACTACAATATCAATCGGACATTGAGCATTGTGTTTTTATTTAATAATAACTTTAAACTTGTAGATAATGTGACTAATGTCGGTGTTGTTTCTTTTTCACGCTAACCCTTTAACAGTGGCTTTAAAATGTAAGTATATAAATATGTATCTTATATGTAAAATTATTTTTATTACAATTATAATTATTGTAATTATACAATACAATATTTATTTATACAGTATATAACATAAATATTTTGTTACACAATTTTGTATGGTGCAGTGTTTCTGTAATCCTGTTTAACATGGATAAAGAAAGGCGCCAACTGGTAACCGCCAAAATAAAATGTGTAGTGTGAATTCGCTTTTTGTTTAAATACAGTACACATTTTTTTATTTGTGATAACTCCGTTTTTATATTTAAATTCCTGTTTCTCTATATGTCATGTAAAATAAAGTAGTTTGAACAAACAAAGAAATTGCATAAATGTTATTTTAACAAATTCTGAGTTTGAATTGAAGATATTATATATTCTATAAAAGGATTGTTACCCGTCCGTATTTGCTCATAGCTACTTTAATCTCCTATATATTTGTTTAGTACAATAGACATTAAATATACAAATCTTCACATTACGTTTTAAGACATCTATTGAATAAACAATTACGTAAATGTTTCAGATACCGATAACCAAAGAGTTATAATCCACGTTAAGGATGTGAACGACGAACCTCCATACTTCATCAACCGCCCACTACCGATGCAGACTGTGGTACAGCTTAATGCAGCTCCGAACACACCAGTTTTCACTCTTCAAGCAAGGGATCCTGATACGGACCATAACATCCACTACTTCATAGTGAGGGACAGAACTGGAGGGAGATTCGAAGTTGACGAACGTTCGGGAGTGGTTCGCACTAGAGGAACAGACCCGTTCCAGTTGGATATGGAGTATGTTTTGTACGTGAAAGCCGAAGATCAGGTAATTTAAATAATGAATACGTACTTAGAAGAGTTGTTAACTGTAGTCGATATGGTGAACATGATACTTTTTTTTCATGCTCATATTTGTGTATATTTTAATTTAACGTAAGACCAAAAGGATAATAACAGCCATCTTTGTTATTTGTTGCTATTTATGTTACCAGAGTGTGGTAGATAATATTGTATGTATTATATTTGTATGTAGGTTCTTTATGTGCAGAAAGCTATTGCATCTACTCTATAACTATGTAAAATAAATAACAACACCAGAGATTCAGTCAGAAATATGACCATACAAATTTATTAGCCATATTTCAACTCACGATGCTTGTATCTAAGGCAGGGTAGCAAAGTACCAGGCCCTATGGCTAAAATCGATATTAAATAATGTATATTAGTTACATATAGTAAATTAAACTAGACAGATGCTCATAGTACCTTTTATAAGTGACCGCAATGACAAAAGTGATTGTATAAAAACAATACCGACAGGAACACTCCTATTTTAAATATGAATAAAAGAATAATATCAGACAGGTAACCCCATTGTCAATCTCTCTCTCTCAAAAAAATAGTTATCCATAAGGTTTTGCGTCTCTGTTGATGTGTTAGTAAGTAGAAATTACTTACTTACTTACTTAATTTATTAAAATATTTTCCTATTTTTACTTCAACAATAAGAACTTTTCAATGTATTTGAAAAGTTTTTTAGACCCGCGTAGGCTGTACAGTTATCTGTTAGTGTGTGAGATCGGTTTGGTCAGGACTTCACACTTTAATATTTTAGTAGGTAGAAATGAACAACTTGCCTGTTTGAGCCAAAAAAAGATTCCTTCTTAGAATGAAGCCTTGTCTGACTTTATAACTGATAAGTAATTCAATATGTTACGCATATGTCACCAAACTTTATGACTCAAATATGAAGCTCTGAATTCAATGATTTCATGTATGTTGAATATTAAATTGAAGATGACAAAGTTTCACTTGCCAATCTAAATATAATAATGTGTAGCAGATCTGTTTATTTCTGGGTGACCTAAATTGGGTCATCTTTCACTGTGTATATGGACGTCAACTATTTTGTTATTGTTATTGGTCAGAAGATTTTATTTGATTAGTTGTCGTCGAGTATTTAGCATATGAAATTTAAAATATGCAAATAATTATTTAATTTTAAAATGCAATTATAATTTTAATATACAAAATTTTGAGTATGGTAAAAATTATTATATTAATTCTAAATACCCTTAGATAATTAATACAGCGCCATCTAGTCCACGATAGCAGAGCTTTTGTTATGGGTACTAGACAACTGATATAAATACTTAGAATTTTTTGTAAATACATACGTGATATATATAGAAAACACCCAGACCGATACAAACTATCACACTCATGAATACAAATATTTGCAACGTGCGAGGAATCGAACTTGCGACCATCGAGAGTAAAGCGGTGTGCTAAACCGCTAAACCACCGAGGTCGTCAATATACACTTTATTATACACATTTTACCCAGAAATTTGGTAATTAAAAAAAAATCATAATATTATAAGTACTGTAAATTCAAACAATTATTATTTTTGTAACTCCGCTACTTGAGGACATTTAATTATTAGTTTCACAAATTCATTCATTGGTCTGTTATATCTTTGATTTGTTATACTTTTTATTTACCCTGGTTAACCCTATGGGTATATAAAAGTATGATTAATAAACTAGTTTCACCGAATCGTGTTACTATGTCAAATGCAGCAATTATTTACGTCCAATTACTTATATAAATATTTCTGGATTTTCAGAGCGGCCGTGTCGATGAAAGACGATTCCAGTCCACTCCCGAGGAACGGCTCAGCATAGTCGGTGGTAAACGAGCTCCACAGTTCTACCTTCCAAGTTACGAGGCTGAGATTGCAGAGAACCAGAAGAAAGATTCAGAGTACGTTTATATTTAACTGCTGTATATACGATTATGTTATAATTGGTATAAACTACATCAATATGTAATGTTTTCCCGGATATTTCAGTATATACAATATCGTTTTTGTAAGGTTTTATTAATTTTAGTTACAGTCATATTGCCTGTATTAAACAGAAACATACATTTATTGTGATGTAAAGTAAACAGTAAAATATATTAAGATGATTATTTCATGTTCTTATTCATTCATAAGGTTTACAATTTTTATATAAACCTGGTTTTTGAACTAGAGTTATCTGTGTGACAAAGTTAGTAGGTACCTTCCGAACAATTGTGGTCTTATTAAGGACCGACAAAACCAGTAACATTGAGATAATGTTGTAGAAATCTAACAAACTTATTATATATACATGTATAAAGATTAGTTATATCTAAAAATTTAAAACAGTATTATTATATTTGCGCAATATTATGTGTGCATTGTATGCAAGTATTGTATTTGTAAGTATCTACGTATTATGTGATGACTGTGTATGTTTCGCATTTGTATATAAAGCCAAGTATATATAAATATAAGAATGTAACAAAATAGGATTTTTAAATGGATTAAACCGCCTGTAAAAATATGGCTACAAAGCTATGTATCTGTGGATTTCGTATAATTGAGACTTTGAGAAAGATCAACTGTGAACTGTTACTGTTCACGGATTACAAGTACAAGGAGTTCTATAATAGAACCCTTGTGTTGTACCTACAAATATAGAATTCTTAAAGTATATTTTTAAATTTTTATAGGGCTTTTCTTCGAATAGGGGTCTTCTTTCTATTGGAGAAATATTAAATTAAGCAAAAGGATATTTAAAAACAACGGAAAGATAAATATTTATAACGCAAAATTTTGATTCCAGTAATTTATATGGTTATTTTTTTCATATTACAGTATTATCTCGGTGAAAGCAAAGTCATTTGCTGATCGAGAAATCCGCTACACTCTCAAGGCTCAAGGACAAGGCGCTGGCACGTTCAACATCGGTCCTACTTCGGGCATAGTCAAATTGGCCAAGGAGTTGGACTTTGAAGATTTGAGGCAGCCGCATGTGTATTCCTTGGTTGTTACAGCAACTGAGGACTCCGGTGGTTTCTCCACATCTGTTGAGGTCTGTTTCTTATTAATCTGCTACTGATTTTATATTATTATTTCATGTATTTATGAGTATTTTTAAATTTATTTTTAGGAAGTTTAACGGTGTAATTTTACATTTTACTTTAAATTTCTATGCCAATTATTTTTTTTTTCTGATAGCCCAATATTTCTCTCTAATACCGCAGATAACATAATATTAATAAATAAGTTATATTTTATGTAAGACTGCTACATACCTAATAGTTAATAGTTTGTGTTTACTAATGTTATAAAGGGTAAATATCTCATTTGCAATATATAAATTTTAAACCCACCAAAACCAATTTTTAAATTCGTACTATACCTATTACCTATTTATTAATGTGGTATACTTAAAATTTGGTATACAGGTATCGAGAATGTATTAGCACAGATAACATAATATTACATAGTATTAGCTACCTACATGTTGTCGTTCAATAAAGCATTTATGTAGATAATGATAAAAAGGTCATCATGTAATTTATCCATTGCACTTAGTTATGTTTGTATCAATAAAGACGAATAAGATAAATTTCTAATAGTATTCGATATATTTATCAGTATTTATTTTTATGCTAGAACTTTTATAAACTCGACCTTATATTTATTTTTCGATAATTTATGACACTCGCAAAGCTGGAATTTAGAATTAGATCAACGTTGGCCATTCAGCTTAATTTTAGTAGATGGATTTTTTATTTATTTTATTTAAACTCTTTATTGCACCAGACAAAGAAAACACACAAAATGATATAATACATAAACTGATACAAAAGGCGGTCTTATCGTATCTCTTCCAGACTACCAGTAGAGAAAGTAACATTAAGATAAGAAAATAGTAGGTGGTGCACGTAATGAACATAAATATACATTTGTACATAAATATATCTATTAATATATATAATAAAATATAAACATACGTAAACATACAATACTTTAATGCACATATCTTCAGAAAATATGGAACTATGAGACAAAGAGGACAATATTTAAAGGGAAAGAAAGTATTTGACAGAGACTTTGAAACTAGCAAGTGACTGAATGCTCCGAATGCTAGGGGGGAGTGCGTTCCATAACCTGACAGCCTGGACAGAAAAGGATTTAGAATAGAAGGAAGTGGAATGAGAGGGATATCTGAGAAGGAGGTTGTTAACATTACGCGACGGATAGCTACTGTTCTCATTGAGAAATGTGAAACTGTCACTGGATCAATTTTGTATAATACTAGGTGTTCGCCCCCGGTATCGGTGGGGTGTATATGTATTATACATATAAACCTTCCTCTTGAATCATTCTATCAATTGCTAAAAACTGAATTCTAATCCGTCGCGTAGTTTAAGATCTAAGCGTACAGACAGCGGGGGTAAATTTGTTTTATACTATATAAAGAAGTAGAAACTGATGCTCGTATGAGATATGGCCATCTATTCCACTTATATAAAATTCTGAGAGTGTGAAAGAAAAGATGTATAAACTAAAATAAGGTATACCAAGAGATTTCAGTTTCATTCAGTTTTAGATAAATATCTTAGAGGTTTCTTTTATTTTTAGATATCCTTTTGTGTTCTAAATAATTCACAATGTACTAATATACTTAGTTAGGTACAGAATATAATACTACAGTTTACTTATTATTACTGTTTTGCTTTCCAGCTAACGATTCGAGTCACGGACGTCAACGATAACGCACCAAAGTTCGAGCTGCCTGATTACCAGGCGCACAACGTTGACGAGGACATACCTCTGGGCACCAGTATCCTCAAAGTTAAAGCCATGGACGCCGATTCCGGAAAGAACGCCGAAATTGAATATTTAGTTTCAGGTACATAACAAATTATATTAAAACAACATACCAATTTTTATGTATGACTACTAGCGCCATCTATATTACTTTTATGTTAATACAACTTTCATATCTACACGACAGATGGCAGTACTTACTCTGTAATGGTTACAATTACCACGGACTATTGTGGTGCGCGAATTCTGAAATCAGTCTCATGTTCATACAAATGTAATATAAACTTACCATTATTTTGAATAATCTTATGTCTTCATTTATATTATATTTTATAATAGTAGATTTTCAACAGTTGTCATAAATAATCAATACACATTGGATTACCAATTGAACGTAACGTATTTTTTTTTAACCTTTCTACGATTGCAGTAAAATTTTATATATCCCGAATGATGTGATAATATACTGACTATCCTGAGTAGGTTTATCAGATGGTTTCTATACATTATATTTTGATTTAATGCTCTAGGAACTATTAAATAAAATTACTAACATACGTCAATATTCCTGTCATGTCATTCAATGTAGGTATAAGTTGATAATCAAACATTACACATACTTTTTCTTAATAGTAGTACAAAGCCATTCATTTTTAATGGCTTTGCACCTGCAATGAATTTCTTCTATTTACGCAAAGTTTTTAAATATAATTCGCACAGTTTATTGCGTTATAGTAAAGAATAAATGTAATTCCAACGATTTCTAAGTCGTATATATTTTGGTTTAGTTTTATAGACAATATTAGATGTACTTAATAATATGTTCCAGATGATCACTTCAGCGTAGACTCCAATGGAATTATAACCAACAATAAACAGTTAGACGCTGATAATAATAATGCTTACTATGAATTTGTTGTCACCGCAAAGGATAAAGGAGAGCCTGCTAAGACCGGAACAGCTACAGTTAGGGTTTACACAAAGAACAAAAATGACGAAGAACCCAAATTTTCGCAACAAGTGTACACTCCAAATGTAGATGAAAATGCAGGACCAAATACTTTAGTGACAACTGTAGTAGCATCAGATAAAGATGGTGATAATGTTAGATTTGGGTTCGTTGGCGGAGGCACTAGTTCAGGACAATTTGTTATAGAGGAAATAACTGGTGTAATTCGATTACATAATAAAGCTATATCCTTAGACAGAGACAAATACGAACTGAATGTAACAGCGATGGACGATGGAGCTTGTTGCGTTAATGGAGATGCTACGATACATACATCCACTGCTGTGGTCGTAGTATTTATAACTGACGTTAACGACAATAAGCCTATCTTTAAGGATTGTCCTAGCTATTTTCCAAAAGTTGAAGAGGGTGCGCCAAATGGTAGCCCAGTTATAAAAGTGCATGCTACTGATGAAGACAAAGGAGTGAATGGGCAAGTGAAGTATTCAATAGTGCAACAGCCAAATCAGAAAGGTACGAAATTTACTGTTGACGAAGAAACCGGGGAAGTGTCTACAAATAAAGTATTCGATCGAGAGGGTGATGATGGAAAGTTTGTATCGGTAACGGTAAAGGCGACGGACCAAGGTGAACCTTCGTTGGAAGGCGTTTGTTCATTTACGGTAGAAATTACAGACGTAAATGACAATCCCCCACTATTCGACAGACAAGTAAGCTATATGAACTGTACATAGTAGTTTTATATGCACGTATACATAACTGCATGACGCACACGTAAGTTAATTTTGCATGAGTATCAGGTGCCGCGATTGTTGTTTATTATTATAATGTATATTGCAGAAATACGTGGAGAATGTAAAACAAGACGCTAGTATAGGGACAAATATACTAAGAGTGTCTGCATCTGATGAAGATGCCGATAATAACGGTGCTATAGTTTACACTTTAAGCGCACCATATAATCCAGCTGACATAGAATATTTTGAAATTCAGCCTGAATCAGGTTGGATTGTCTTGAAGAAACCCTTAGACGTAAGTACGAATTTTAGTTATAAATTCACATCCAATAAAATCCTGTGTGCTTATGATAAGAGCGAAGCGTGAATGGGATCAACTTTACTATAAAGTTTGGTGGATGAGTGCTACCTACAAGCCCTAGGATTCAATTGGCACATACTTTAAGTTTACTTAAATGTAAATAGTTCTAAATTTATCTGCTGCTGTAAATTGCTGTGAAGAGGGGTAAATCCTGGCTGTGAGGAGTAGTTGTCCATTGAACGGCAGCGCGAACCAGCGCGGGCTGCTTGGGCCGCCCGCGCCGCCGCCGTCGGGGGCTTGTTCTTCTTGCAGCACTATTAGTTTCATTTGCCGCCAACGCCGGCTCCGCACTAAATCTTCGTTAAGATTTATTTCCGCAGCACCATCTTGCATTGACTATTCTACCGATAAATATGACCTGTGTATATTACTAATAACAGAGATAATACTGCTGTAAATATTTCACCGTTGAAACCTATGTTTAGTTCTAAAACATGTACAGTTTCTGTAAGAGCACTTATGTATAATATTTCGCACAAACTAGTTTTTCAAAGTTTATTTTATTGTAAGTAATTAATTAATTAATTTGAGAAGCTTACGCTTTGAACATACCTATCAGTATTATATGTATGTACATGTTTTGTTACTAATCTCCAATTTTATTTTGCGGAGCGATGTAATTTTTCCCATAAGGGCAGTTCGATTTCTGCCTCGCCAAAGTGTGATCGCTCTTGTAGACGACTACTCATATAATAATGTCATCCATAATGGTATTATCATTGTAATTGTAAAATTTTTTACAGGGCGCCAGTTTATTGATATTATTGTATTTTATTAGCATTAATCGAGATGGTCAGATTGCCTGCCAGGCAGTTTGGCCATCTGGCCAGTTGTGACATTATTCCTTCTGTGAAAGGGGCAACGTTCTCAAAACCAAATTTGTACAGTTAACCGTAACGTCCATCGTTTGTAATATATTCATTTCAATGAGTGTCGTTTCGTTGTAGTCATTCGAGGTCGCTAAAATATTTTTATGGCAACCCGACCTTTCCGCCATGTCTTGTATGCAGAGCCGCATGCATTTGCCTGCTTTTCTTAAGTTTTTTAATTTTTTTAATTAGTTTAGTTACATTATTGTAAAAAGTGTATTTAATGTACAGTTTGTCTTTTTCCTTATTGTACAGATCGAAATTTGTAAGATACGAGAAATATTTTATTTCCAATTTATTTTCTTGCACCACCTAATATTGGCTACATTAAGGAAAAGCTGTAAGTAAGTACGAATGGAGCCTGCGTGAAACCCGATAAGTTGTGACTGGTAGTAACATTATGCAAACTTCTGTTTTATACTCTTCTCTTGTTTTTATTTAGCTTACTGAACGAGCGCGTGACGTATGTGAGATTAGTAATTTGTTTACTATGTAAGTGATAAACTACAAAACTTCTTTAAACAGCCGATAGATATAATCTGAAAGAGGATCGATACTTGAGTTTACTTTTAAATTATTTTAATTGTTTATTAGCAATGAGTACTTATGTGTTTATATTTTAGTTGTGTTATGTTTTGTTTCTCCCCGCTGACCGCTGACCTCTGACCCGTGTATGTGTAGCGGGACAGGTATCGCCTGCGGGTCCGCGCCTCCGACCGGGGCCACCCGCCCTCCTCCGCAGACGTGGACGTTGAATTAGACGTGGTAGACAGGAACAATAAGCCCCCCATCTGGGACATGTCCACGTATGGCCCCGTTCACATCAAAGAGAATGTCACAGTGGGTACCGTAGTGACCAGTGTGAAAGCAAGGTTGGTATAAGGCGCAGCGGGCTTTCGGGCCCGCCGCTCCTCTACTCCTTAACACTACTAACGACGTGGTTTTGTCTGTTTCCATCGACTCTTTCCCCAATAGCGAGAAACATACAAGTTGGAGGCTATGGCTCAAGACAAGGGCTTCCCGCCCTTGTCCAGATCCGTCGAGGTCCAGATAGACGTAGTGGATCGCGCTAACAATCCCCCCGTGTGGGACCACACGGTGTACGGCCCGGTCTACATTCGAGAGAATTTACCCGTGGGTGCCAAAGTGGTGTCCGTGAAAGCAAGGTGCGTGTGTAACTGTTCGGCACGGGCACCGCACGCAGCCCCGTCACTTGCACGCAGTGTGCCACGCAGCGGCGCGCGGCCGCCAACCCTTCGTTCTCCTGCCCATAATCCTAACATCTTTTAGTTTTCATTCCTGTGTTCTTCGTTGCATAACCTATATTTAATTTATATTTCTCGATAGTTTATGCAGCGACGAGCATTATTTCCGTTGTGTTCCATTTAAGGCCCATTTTGGATTGAAGTGAACTCTATATTTCTGTCTAAGAATGGAATTTGGACATATCGAGATTAATTCAATCTACTGTGACATTCAATGGAATGCATACATCCATGTGTCTGTGCGCCGCTCGCATTTCAATTTATCGTACGTTTGCCTATCACTTGGTAATTACGATTGTCTCTGTACGTTCGTTTACAAATGCATCGTCATGAACACAATATGGTTACCGTGATTCACTAGCGTGCATTTGCAAGGGCTCACTGCTTACATGGAACGGGGATCACAGTTAATCGGGCTCAAATGTCGGAGTTAAAACCAAACTTTAGTGAAATATTTCTGTACTATGATGTATGAGTATATTATAATTATTAATATACCGTATAAAGAAGTATACCATAGATATACAGGAATAATATTGTTTTAATATCATACAAACATTTCAACTGTATTTGATGAATAATAAACTATAACAAAAGCAAATGTCTAAATATAAATATTTTACTAAAGTTAATAATAACAGGAATGCCTTGCTCGGAAGCAAATAGGTAATGGAATATACGTTTTTGAACGTCATTTGTAAGAGGTATGGGTATTTTTTAATTACAACTCATTGTATGCATGTAGGCCGATGCATTAACGCATTCTGAATCATTATTCAATATATCTAATTTTAAAGATATCTAAAGAATCAAATCGCATGTCAGTATAATTTTTAAATGTTTAGTCAGTAGACATTTTCGTTCGTAACATTTTCAATTAGTATTATTCAATTAGTATCATTTTCAATTTTTTTTTTCATGAATTTATTTATCATTGGTGCTTGCATAAGTACTAGTAATTTTTTTTTCTTTTTAATTGAAACGTACAAGTTATGTTTTTCGTTTATAAAATTGTCAAACATAATTAGTTACAATTGGTGTACTTAATATCTTCTATGATTTGGAATATTTTAGCATACTACATACTATTACGACAAAGCTCTTCGTTTTTCCATATATAATTTTTCTAGTAATATTTTGTTGGTCTGTATTATATTCTTAATATAATTGTCATTAAATAATGAAAATACCTATATAATGACATTATATCTATGAAAATATTTGTAAATTTAAGGAAGTATAAGAAGATAATCTTGTTCTTTTATAAGATATAGGGAGTTTCCACGACAAATTTATGTTAGATATAAAGAAGTTAAGTACTGCATTTTTGTTTTATTTTTATAGTGCATCAACCACGTCAGCACAACGAGTATTCGTCGATGACAATGATTCGTTCACCTCTATTACCTTCTCTGTCCATTTTAAAATACACATTTCAAACTTACATGAATACATGAAATGGAATCCATTACTAATACACCGTACTAACTTAACATATTTTAATATAATGTGCCTAAACTAAAATTTCTGTTGCAAGAAATAGTACAAATTTAAAAGTTAGATTAATATTTAGACTATGTCCATGTTCAATAGGATAAAATTACTGGGTAACCGTGCAGGACGAAGGATCTGTAATTAGATTGAACATAACAGATAGGTTATGTGTCAATAGTTAAGTCTGTTCTTAATTAGCCTGAGCTTAAAGCGGGTACTTAAACTCGGCACATTTTCTTATTCTTTTCATATTCTTCTTATTCGGTTAAACGACATGTGATTAACATGGTTATGGTCAATTTAGGAATTAGGAATAATAATAGGCATTGTTCAACTTGATTTCAGTAATCTGAAATCATATTGATAATGAAAAATGGATATAGATACATTTTTACATTTCATATTTATATAATTTTTTTGCTGATTGAAAATAAAGCTTTATTTTATCATCTTTATCATTTTTAATTTGCTATTCCAAATTATTTTTAGTAAGTAAATCTACGTCAGTCTGAACAAATTTATTTGGAAATTTAATCATCTATTGCTACAAAAATATATGTCATTTTAATATTTATATATTGCCTAAGTTAATATATTCGTAGTGATGCTAATAACAAATAAGTATTAAGGTGTCACACCATTAAAAGCATTACATGAGAAATACGGACCCGCAATACACGTTATATAAAGCAAGTTTTACAAATTGCATCAATTTTATTAATTTAATATAAATACTAGATGCATATCATCGTAGTCCTCAGTAATGGCATAAGGGTAATAGGCGGCAGCTGATTCCTATCAGCCGGGCAGTCAGCTTGTTAGTCATTACAGTAGCATAAAACAAGTACCTGTATTTAATAAATATTTTATCGTTTAATGCTAAAATGTTACCTACTGTATAATGTGAGTTATATACACATTTCTACCATTAAGTGTATTAAGATTTACTCACACGACTATATTCATTATCATTATAACTATGTATATGCAATCGGAAAAAAATTTATTTAATATATTTCTGTACTTTAATGTAGTCCTACTCAATATTTAATGTCGTCAAGTGTCAATAGTAGATATTCCAATAATTGTATTGTTGTTTGTTTGCTGTGAAAGTTGTTATATTGTTTTATTGTATTTTCAGCTCGGGCATTGAAAACAACCCGACCGTGTTTTACCGTCTGATGCCCGGATCGACGGCTCAAACTAATAAATTCCATACTTTCTATTTACAACAAAGGGCCGATAATGGGTTCACTTGGGCCGATATAAAAGTAAATCATCCTTTAGACTATGAAAGTATCAAGGAATATAATCTGACTATTCGAGTTGAGGTAAGTTTGTGATAAATAGTTTTTTTTATTTCGTATTGATAAGTTCATAATGGATTACGACATAACACTTATAAGTGATAAAAACCTAAATAACGCGTTCTACTGCAAAAGTGATGAACAAAATGTAATGTTAGGTACTTAGGTGGTGTGCCCATCTAAAATTATTAAATTAGTAATATAGACTACTTACTGTCTGCTTTAAAATGTGTCTTCGAAGACTTGTAAGTCGTCTTAATGCATACTTCTGGTACATTTATTTCTACCTCTAAACAGCTCGCTGTGTTTCGGTTTGAAAGATGATTAAGATAGCACGTATTCTGCCAGAAGGTTAGTCAGCTTATTTGTAATTCTGAATTGTTAAGTTGTTGCTTACTGAAATGAAAATGTATTAGGGGTATTGCCTGGCGTTGCCATTCCTAAATACTAAGGTGTCATACCTACGTACCTTATAATTTCAGTGCCATAGCGCACATATTTTGAATAAAAAGACAACTTAATACTTAAACTCTAGTAACTTGCTCGGCTCAGAAATATGTGACGTAGATGACTTGTGTACATAAGTCTCCCTAACTAATTAAATAATTATGTTTATTAGATAGGTCCCCAGTCTTAATTTATTTTAAGTACCTATTCATTCCAATCGGCTATCTTATATACTACTGAGGTTAACCAATATTACCCATTAGATACATTATATAAATTGGTTCGATCTCCAGTAACTTACTTCTTACTTAGTTCGCTAACAACTCTTAGGCTTTACATTCTCTACTAAGTTTTGTATACAATTTCGTATAAGCAATGACCCTTGCTTGAGTTCAAAACTGAATAGATATGTAGATAGTTTTAAAAAGCAATTAAACTATGTTTTGCTTATTTCGTACACATTTGAAGGCAGAACGTCTCCTTCAGCAGTCTCCTCTCCAAACGCAGCATTGATATTACGAGCCGTTTCTGTCGCGTCAGTTCCGTGTCGGAATTCGTATTCAAAAATGACTCGGATTTTTGAACTATTATAACTATTATAGACAATATTTTTCAAAAGAAGTAAATAGATATAGAACATATAAAGAAACATGTTTCCGTAAAGTAGGTATATAAACTTTTTATACTTCATTGACGTCACTTTGCCAGTCGCTCGATTAGTAATGCTTGACACTAATTTCTCCGGGTAAGATGATATTATTAATTAATGTCTATTACAGTCTAAGATCTATAATATTATTTTTGATAATGCCACAGCATAGCGATATAGGTCAGCCCCTTTAAATTGATATACAATGTTTTTGAGCAACTATAAATAAATAGTTCATAAAAGTTCCCTCATTAAAATGCGGGAATAACTGAAATATTATACTTAATAGTTGTAGGTTATAATCTTCTATTATTAATTGTTATTCAATACATGTTTTTAATCTAGCCTAATTGAATAATAAATTAATACCTATCTAAAATTCATTTTCACGGAAATCACATAGATAAAGTTTTCAAATACGTTTATAATAAATAGATTGTTTGATAATCTGTTGCGATTCTGTCGAGAACCTTTCGTCCCTACCGTTTATCGGTAATTCGGCATGTGTGGCCGCCCCATTCCAAATCAACTTGGTAATCTTGATGACTGTGTGGACTTTTGTCCCGATATCTTCATTCTGAATTCTATCACCCATTGATTACATTAAATCTTTATCATATAGCAAGCAGAATAATATATTTGTCATTTATTTTCATTACATCTTTGTATGCGTCACATTTTCCCGGTTTTTGCAATATTTCCTTTTGCATCTAGGCTTTTATTGGCCGTACTGTGATGTTATATAGCCGTTAATCTTCTTGTATCTATCTTAATATTATTGTAGATAAAATGGACCACTGTTTCATTGAAGCGAAATTTAAATTGCTTTTTATTAAATATATTAAAGTAAAGAATAAAATTCAATAAAAACTCGTCACCTCAATGTAAATAATATTCAATACAGTCTTATTAAAATCGATCACAAAATTGTAGGAGTGTCATTATTTGATCGTCCGCCTACTGCAATCACTTAAAGTTTTTGTTTGGTGGTTTACTGAATCGATTGTATAAATTTATTAGAGAAATTAATATATTATATGAGTTTGTCAATATTTTTTTGAGAAGTAAGAGTGGGTCATGGAATCACAAAACTATATTATAAAATTTGTTTATTTTGTTTAGAACAATGGCGCTCAGCAGCTGGCTTCAGAAGCGACTGTCTACATTATGCTAGAAGACGTCAACGATGAGATCCCACTGTTTACGGAGAGAGAACAGGAAACGGTCCTGGAAGGAGAGCCCATCGGCACGAAGGTGACGCAGGTCAACGCGATAGACAAGGATGGAACATTTCCGAATAATCAAGTAAGTTGAATTAATTATCCAATAAGAACATTAATAAAATTACCATTGTGGAGAGCGTCGTGCCCTAGTATACCACATATCGGTGAAAAATGAACATAAAATAAACTAATAAGCTCATTTGCTGCCATGTTAGATTCCCATATAACGAGCAAAATGTGAGCATGTCAAGTCTTGCTTTCACAACATCGACAGTGGAAGGTGCCACTGACTACCTCATCTAAGGTAACAGTCAGAAATCTACGTTATATTATGTTAACATTAATTACCAAAATCTCACAACGTTTATATTGTCTGGATTTTTTCTCTTAAATATTAGAAATAACTTCTTACTTGTGCTCTTGTAAGGAACTAGAACGATAATGTAATGACTCTTCTTATTAAATAGTCAGTGATATATTAATGGTAAAAAGGTAGCTGTGAAAACAAAAATTAAAGAGTACGTAGATGTTATATTTCTAGTGGTTGTTTTACGTTAATCCTAGCACATGATAATGTCAATTTTATTTTGTTATAAAAGCATCATACATTTAGGTATAGTAGTTACAAAAATATCATACATTTACGTACAGTAATCAATCAGATATATTTATACGTATATAATACTTTTTGAAAACGAATACACAATGTACGTAACGGATCTTTGCTAGTGAACGATCTTACGAAAAAAGTAACTTATTTTAAATGAAATTGCATTTTCAATATGTACAAAATTAAATAAAATATGAAAAACGTTGGAGACATAAGGTAATTATTATACTAATTAATATATATATGTACCGAATGGGCTTTCTTTTTTTACGGCTTCTCGTTATAATAACCTTAAATAATAAGAAGTATTTGCATAAAATAATTTATGGTCTCCTTCATAAAATTTTGCTTTATGATTCTGTCCTTTGGTTTATGTCATACCATACTTCATAAATTAAGGGTACAATTCCTACTCCTAAATGGTTTTGTAACAGTGCCACCAAAATGGAATACATTTTTTTTGACGTCAGTTACCTATATGGTTTATAATAAAATCAAGAATTAAATATATAAGTCCCCAAATAAAACCGCAAGTTATGCTCGATTCTTGTTTCCAATTTCAATCAAGTAATACAGACGTTTGTCCCCCCAAACGATAAAATACACTATTAACACAAATATAATTTGTGAACAGTTTTGAACTTGGTATACAGATTATTTTTAGCCAAAATTCGCTTTAATTTAAATTAAATTAAAACTCTATTGTTTTATATTTTTGAAAGACTGTTTAAATAGTGAAAGAGGTGCAGAACCCCGGAAGAGATCTAATAACAAGATCTGCACGAACATATAATATGTACGAGTATATATTGAAAATTACGTGTATGTCTGAGTTTATTTTATATACTTATAATAATTACAAAAGTAAAAGCATAATTTTAATAAATATGATGTTAGCTTAAATATTTATTTAAAATATATTTTAAATAAGATAATATAATTATATTTGTAGACACGAAATATCCCACACAGTACTGTACTCTTATGTCAATTCACTGTTTAGATAATAGCTGGAGTCTATTGCTGATGGAGCTGGAGAATATCTGGCCGCAGTGTATGACTATAAAATTAAATAAATACGGTGGTAACTCGGATAACAATATTTATGCAATTATCAGGTTCCTATTAATTAGTTTTGCATATGCTTTAACATTACATTGTCATGTGGGCGTTGCGTAATATGTAGGAGAGGGTTACGACACAGTTCTGTACCCTTTTCAACACGAAAATAACCTTAAAATTATCACCCACGAAGAGAAACGAAACTCGAAATAAAACCCCATACCCATACTTACACCCTTTATAGAACCTCTGGTCAGTATAATAATAATAAGCTTATTCCCTTGTGCACAGTAGTGGAAAGTTAAAGTGTTTTTATGATGATGATTAAGAGAATATTATGAAAAGGCATCGTTAATTCTGGTATTAATGCAAATGAGACTATACATTTTCAACCTACTTGAAATTAGGGAGAGTTTGGATTGCACCGTGTTTTTATATGTTAGAATACATTCTTGCTTTTATAATCAGTTGTCTATACTCTTGTTTTAAGAAAAACATTTTATTATGATTTACAGTTCAGTTCTGCATTCGGTATTTAGTTTTCAAGTTCTGGAAAAAGTAAAGTCGTTAGAGATACCTACGTATGAGTTGTACTATGAATATGACAGTGTAGGCTATCCATTAAGTCATATTTTGGTGACATTCAATTCAATTGGTCCATTATGTCGTATTGTAAATTATTATTAATTATTTCCATGGGTACTGCAAATGCGCTATTAATGAAATAAATAGTGATATTACAAAAATTCCAAATATAGATATCGAGCTTACTGAATATTAAAGATCAACGAGCTCCGTTCATCTCCTGACGGTTGGTTGAAGTAAGCGACAATATCGTTAGCGCTAACGATCTTAATATAAAAAGTACGAAATAAACGCCTTTTTTGTGTATTTGAAGAATTTTATTGATGGATACAAAAATGTAATGCGTCTTTTTGTTCTTTTGTAATATTATTAAGATGTAACATAAGTTAAGTCGTAAGATAAGTTTTATTCATATTTTATTTGCATGGATTAGGTTAGGTTATTTATGAGGTTATCTAAATATATATAACTCAAAGGTGACTGACATAGTGATCTATCAACGCACAGCCCAAATCAGAAGTAGATGTTATGACGTAGGCATCAACTAAGAAAGGATTTTGATTAATTCTACCCCCAAGGGGATGAAAGTTTGTATGAAACTTTGTCAATTTTAAACCGATCGGCCTGAGACTTTGCATGCATAAAGCTACTATGATGTAGGAATCCCCTAAGAAAGGTTTTTGATAAATTCCACCCCTAAGGGGATAAATTAACGCGAGTGAAGCCGCGGGCAAAAGTTAGTTAGGAATGAGAGAGTATGGAGTGTGAGAGAAATAAGAGTGATGTTCAGTATTGTTTTATTTATTAGATTCTAAAATTAAAATAATATGTACATATGTATGTTTTAAACTACAGTACATATATTATAGATAATTAATATTAATTGATAGAGCAGTTAAATATCTTAAATAAATTCGTATTATTAACACAACGTGGAGTACGTATTGTATGAAATTTTTTTGTTGACTGGGTAAATCTAATTACAAAATTTGTTATAACACTGGATACGGAGTATACTCTTCTTTTGATGATAAATTTATCTTTAAAAAAGTCGTTACGGATGAAATTTCCGAATATTATGTTTGGACCACATGCTGCAGCCTTCAATTTCACAATATTGTAGTAACAAAAAATATTGCTTCTTCTTTTCGAACCTTTTAGAAATTGCTGACATTATACAGAGTTACAAATGAAATATATCTAAGCCTAAGTAAAACTAAGGTATTTAATACTTAAGATATTATTACGTTGTATATTAATTTATAATATATATTTCTATGTTATATGTATAATACATATAACATATAGCTTTTAATAATATATTTCCTTAAGGTTTTTAATTTTTGGTTTTTTGTTGTATAATTAAGTTGTATATATTATTTCTACTAATTTTAGTGATTTTTTACAGTACAAAAGACATTATTAATCTCACATATCTAAAATAATGTTCAATGTTGTTTGCGTAAATAATGAATTGAGTATATATATAACTTCAAGCATTATGACCCTCAAGGATTTTATCCTAGTAAAAGAGTTGTCCATTGAAATAAAATTATTATAGAACCAACACTTAAACTATCGATTGCAAATTATTGTACTCAGTGCAGAATTAACTAAGTTATCATTGTAACAAAAAATGTACTGTCGCCGGTGGCGATAAGAAGCCAATCAAGAAGTCGTTATATAGGGGAAACAGTATAGTTATCGGCCAGTTAAGCGACCACTCGATAAAAAAATACAAATAAAAAAAAATGCATGGCTCTAAAATAAATACAACTCACGATATATGTTTCTTTATTAATGTATTTACTATACCAGGTGCCTTACATAAACTTTTATTAAATATTATAAGAGTAATGTGAACTTAAAAATATAAAACTTGAGATCACAGTAATTGGCCATAAAATTACAGTTACTGGCCATCAAATCATATAGCTAACCCTGAAAAATAAAATATAAATGGAAAATTTAACAAAAAAGTAGTATCATAATTATATTATTAATAACTAAACATCTCTTCATCGTGGTTTTCATCTTCAGAACATTCAGAATTATAGTGTCGTCATTTAACGATAAACAGTTGTGGCATATAAATCAGAAAGTTCATCGTCATCTATATGTTCTAGGTGTTTTTGAGGAATAATGACAATGGTATACTTTTTACATAAACTACATACTACTGACTTATTTTTATTAGACAGACGCTGGCACATATCACAAGTAACAACCACTATATTAGATGGAATCCTTATTTTACCGTGGTTGTTAATTTCAGTATCAATAGTTTCCTCTTTAGCATTTTCCGTTACAGTCTTCATGTCAATATTTTCCTTTTTCTTATCAATATTTTTTACTTCTTTCCTACACCTTTACCTTTTTTGGTCTTCAGAACATTTTCTTTTTTCTCTTCCCTTTTTCTTGCTTTTCCATATCTTTTTTTTCAATGGTTAAGCTAAAATTCTCAGAAGTCATCACAAATGGAGTCTTTTCTGCCTTTCGAATAAACTTTCTTTTATTTTCTAGAGCCTCCTGTAAGTACTTAGTAATTGACTTATTAAGATGAGTAGTTTCTGTCTTTGTGGTTACAGAGGTAGAAGTGGAAGGTTGGCACAAAACTTTAGGCATTTTGGTAGGTGTGAGAGTAATTTTAACTCTTGTCACATTATTTTCACTCATAAGATTTACATTTGTTGTGTTATTAGTGGATTGTATTTCAATATTAGTGGATTCTTTCTGTGGAAGATCACTTTGAAAAAAGCTCCAAAGTTTGAATAATATGGAAGCGGAATTATTCTGCATAAAGCCTTCAGATTTCAGTATTTTCA